AAAAAAAAAAAAAAAAAAAAAAAAAAAAAAAAGAATTGAATTGACTGTCAAATTTACTTCCCCCAAGACACAATGGCACATGCTCTATTCAACCGCTGCTCAACTGCCTGGATGACATCAGGGACTGGATGGCTTTAAATTTCTTAAGTTTCAATGAAAAGAAGTCTGAAGTCATGTTGTTCCCTCCTAACGACACGATCACAAACCACTACATCGACCTCTTCGCTCTAACCCTGTCAGAAAAACAGAGTCACTAATCTAGACGTGATAATGGACCCTTCCCTGAAACTTAACAATCACGTAAACATGATTGTTAAATCATGCTTCTTCCAACTGAGGCGGCTGTCTAAACTGAAGCCCATATTGTCCAAAAACAACCTGGAGACAGTAATACATGCATTCATTACATCTAGGCTTGATTACTGCAATTCACTCCTGTTTGGTATCAGTCAGACCTCCATTGCACGACTACAACTGGTCCAGAATGCAGCAGCCCCATTTTTAACCAGTACAGGCAAAAGAGAGCACATTACACCAGTTTTGGCCTCACTGCAATGGCTACCGGTTCACCTTCGAATTCAGTTCAAAATACTCATGTATGTCTACAAATCGCTGAACAGTTCCCCCCACCCCCCATCTCTCTGATCTGCTACAACCGTATGTCCCACCACGCTCCCTGAGGTCAGCGGACCAGTTGCTTCTCACAGTTCCAGGAACTTGTCTTAAGCGCAGAGGTGACAGGGCCTTCTCTGTAGCAGGACCATGACTTTGGAACGAGTTACCTCTGCTTGTCAGACTGGCCCCCTCCCTCTAGGTTTTCAAGTCCCGTTTAAAAACCCACTACTATTTAGTAGCTTTCAACACCAGAGGATCTGTGTTTTGAACCTGTATGCTCCACACTGGTTTGTCGTCATATTTATTATCTGCATCGATTTTATGTCTTTATTATTTTTTTCTATATTTTTGATTTACTTCATTTTTTATTTTGCTTCGTGTGTTGTCTGTTGTTTTGTCTGTACAGCACTTTGGTTGGCCTTGAAGCTGTTTTAAGTGCTCTATAAATAAAATGGTATGGTATGGTATAAACTGGGTTTCCTCCCACAGACCAAAAATATGCATGTTAGGCTGATTAGCAACTGTAAATTGTCTTTAGTTGTGAGTGAAAGTGTGAATGGTTGTTTTTCTGTTTTTATGTGTCCCTGTGATGGACTGGAGACCTGTCCAAGGTGTCCCACACCTCTCACACAGTGACTGCGGATATGGGCACCAGTGCCCCGGGAAGAAAGAAGTGGGAAGAAATGACAGATGGATGTCAATAATATTAAGCGTTCTCCTCAGTAGGAGAGAGGTGATTGGCCAGCTGAGACCAACATATTTTTCAAATGGTCCCTGTTCAAGATGTCCATACAAACACACACACTAATGATTACTGATCAGAACAATCAGAACAGAGTTCAGATTAAAGTTATGTCCCAGAGACAAAAACAAGCTAATGATGTGAAACATCCACTGCAAAGAGAAACCGATTTTAATGAAAGACAAAACAGATGTTTAACAAGTCTTAATTGTAAAGAATAGACTCACAGGTTGTCAGAATCATCGGACTTACTTTGTCTTGAAGTGCCTGTAGCTCCTCCCTCTGCCTTCTGTGTTGCAGCAAACTCTGCTCTTCTGTTTCTCTTGACTGCTTCAGAACATTTAACTGTGGACAAAATAAAAATACACGTTTAACTAAAGCCCATGGTGAGACATTTTCTCACTCTGGCTTCCTGAAGACTTTAGGACAGCTGGGAGTGTTGGTGACTGAGGAATACCTTCTACCCTGAAGCTGACTCATAAGTCAGTCAGAGTCAGAGTTTCTTTATTGTCATTCGCACCTCATGTGGTACATGTGGTGGAACGAAATTATGTACACAAGGTCCCAGTTACATCCAACAATAAAATGTAAAAGAAAAACAACGATAACATCAAAGATATGAACTAAGAAAAACATGAACTAAAATACACTAAGCACTCATAGAATAAAAACAATATGTCTAACAGCAGCACGAACATGAGCATGAGTCTGTGAGCAGATGAGCACGCATGAACACCTCAACATGAAACAGATCAGCAGCAACATGAAACAGATCAGCAGCAACATGAAATAGATCAGCAGCAACATGAAACAGATCAGCAGCAACATGATGTGATTTTTTCACAGTGATTATTCTGGTTAGAGATTCATGAGTCTAACAGCCTCAGGGTAGAAGCTGTTCCTCAGTCTAGTGGTTCTACACTTAATGCTCCTCAACCTCCTTCCTGAGGGGAGTGGGGCAAAAAAAGTGTGTGTGCTGGGTGAGTGTGGTCCTTCATGATGCAGGTGGCCCTCTTCCTGCATCTGCAGGTGTAGATGTCTGTGATGGTGGGGAGACTGACTCCAACATCTTCTGTGCAGCCTTCACCACTCTCTGCAAAGCTTTTCTTTCTGCAGCTGTGCAGCCTCCATGCCACACGTTGATGCTGGAGCACAGGATGCTCTCCACTGCACACCTGTAGAAGGAGGTGAGGACTGAGCTTCCCAGACCAGCTCGTCTCAGCCGCCTGAGGAAGTAGAGTCTCTGATGAGCTTTCTTGATCAGGCTGGTGGTGTTGTTGCTCCAGCTGAGGTTGTCATTCATGTGTACACCCAAGTACTTGTAGCTGGAGACCACTTCCACCACAGTGTCATGCTTTTGCCCATCACAGTTTGTGTTTTTTTCCTGCCAAGCTGCCTGTTCCTGTCACTCACTCTCACCCAGCAATCAAGCTCATGCTCTACACCTGTTCTCCACCCTAATTAAACTCCCTGCATTCACTCAGTCAGTGCCAGATTCTCGAACCTTTCACAAACAGTAGAAAGCCAGCATACCTGATCTTGTCTCTTGCCACGACTCCTTACCTCCACCAGAGTTTTTCCTGTTCACAATACAATTTTTAAACTGCTCTTGGGCTTCTTGTTGTTGTTGCTGATCCAAAAGCCAGATCTTGTCATGCAGATCCTCTTATGTTCAGGGGGGTGTAGGTGTGTTTGTTCCTTCTGAAGTCCACGATCATCTCCTTCATCTTCTTCACATTGATGTGAAGGTTATTCTCTTTGCACCAGCTCTCCAGGTGTTCCACCTCCTGCCTGTAGCTGGACTCATCATTGTTTGTGATGCATCCCACCACCGCTGTATCATCTGCAAACTTTACAATGTGACAGCCTGGATGGGTAGCTGCACAATCATACGTGAGCAGAGTAAACAGGAGGGGGCTCAACACACATCCCTGAGGAGAGCCAATCCCTAACCAAGATAATCAATGTAAGAAAAATAAAGAATAAAATTACTGTAATGCCACTTTAATTGGTGATATGTGACTTATATGTGCTGCTGATTATCCATGCTGCTGATCTAATACATTCAACCTTTATTTATACAGGTTAGTCTTACTGAAAATCAGGAACCCGTTTACAAGAGAGACCTGATTTTTAAGAAAGAATAATGACAACAGTAGACAATCATAAAATTAAAATTGAAATTGAAAAGAATAAATGAATAACTCAGTGAGCAGGTCCCTGATTCAAACCCCGGTCCAGGGGCCTTTCTGTGTTGAGTTTGCATGTTCTCTCCGTGCATGCGTGGGTTTTTTCCAAGTGCTCCAGTTTCCTCCCACAGACCAAAAACATGTATGTTAGGCTGATTGGTAACTCTAAATTGTCCCTAGGTGTGAGTGAGAGAGTGAATGGTTGTTTGTCTTGTTTGTCTCTATGTGTCCCTGTGATGGACTTGCGACCCGTCCAGGGTGTACCCCGCCCCTCGCACAGTGATTGCTGGACATGGGCACCAGCGACCCCCGTGACCCAAAGTGGAATAAGCGGGTAAAGATAATGGATGGATGGATGGAAGAATAAATGAAAGAAAAATGGGAAAAAAGTTATTAAAAAATGAAACAAAAAAAAAGCTAGATTGTAAAGCGATGTAGAATATTAGAATACTAAATACAGGAAAATGTCTGCATTGGTTTTAGCCATGAACTTGGAAGTTGAAGCCACTTAGAGAGATCAAGGCCGAGAGCTTCAGGTCATTTTGCAAAATATTCCAGGGAACAGGAGCAGAGAAGAAGGCCCTTTTACCTAGTTCAGTCCTCACTGAGGGAACACTGCAGGTAATAATGTCCTGAGAGTGCATGCTGTAGCTGCACTCACACAGAGACATGTAGGAGGAGATGTATGAAGGCAACAGAACAAGAAGTGATTTAAAGATGAAAATGTACCAGTAAGACGGTCTGTATGAAGTTAATGATGTCCAGTTAACCAGTGAATACTGGGTGCAGTGGTTGGTACAATAGTTCCAGCCAGTTATGCACCATGATAGGCAGCGTCCAACAACTACAGGGTGCTTGTAGAGGCGTTCATGTAAATAATGTCACCTTAATCAATGGAAGAAAGAAAAGTCGTAGTTACAAAGTGTTTCCTAACATTCACAGTTAGGCAGGATATATTTCTGAAAAAGAAACCCAGTTTAACTTTCAATTTCTTTACCAAGTTTTCCATGCGGAGCTTAAAAAGAGATGCTAATCGACCAAGATACCCAAATATTTGTAGGAATCGACAAACTCAATAGGGACACCATTCAAAGATAAAATTGAGAGAAGGACTGCTGGGACCGACTTCCCGTTTGAAAAAAAGCCTCACTTTGGGTTTTGTTGGCATTTAGGACAAGTTTGAGACTGAACAAAGCTGACTGAAAGATGTCAAAAGCAGAGTGCAAAAGCTGGAAAACTGTAGCAACTGTTTTAGCTCGACAATAAATAACTTTATCATCAGCATAAAAATGTAGGGATGCATCAGGGATGATCTGACCTACACACTGAGACCACGAGGTGCTCCACAGAACGCCACAGGAAGTCCTTCCTCCCTGTGGCTATCAAACTTTTCAACTCCTTCCCCTTTCTGCACATAGGATAATAAAATTAATCCTGCACCACAATAACCACCTTAATGTTTCACATTAAAACATTTCATGCATTAGACAGTTCACACGTCTGCACCTGACCTGTTTAGGTATTAATTGCTGGTATTTTTATATTCTCTGTTATGTTTTATATTCTCTGTTATTTTTATATCTTGTGCGATTGTGTATATTCATTTGTACTGAAACTCTGGCACAACAATTTCCTGTGGGATCAATGAAGTTCCATGTTATCTTTTCTCTTAGTGTAGTAAGAGTCCAGTGTGGCATGCAGTGGGTGTGACATGTTGTTCAGGATCTGGATCTTATGTACATTGTGAAGAGGATGGGTCCTAAGACTGAACCTTGTGGTACACTATTAACAATTAGATAGCTGTACAAAGTACCATTATGTTCGTTTTTTTTCTACCTAGTGGAGCTACCATTTGGTTATGGCCAAAACTCCACTGCAGCCTCTCCTCTAAGGGAATTGTGTTTATAACTTGAGTATTCCCCAAAGTGATTGTATACTAATTCAACTTAGGCTGTGTGCGAGGATGATTCACCCAGACTATTGATGACCTTTATTTGTGAGCCACACCCTTATCTCACACCGTAGTTCGTCCAGCTTAGTAGCTGAAGTTGAGTCGTTGACCACAGGGAAACTCACATTAACGGTCGTTCCTCCTCATTGTAGAATTGCAATTTTCACTGATCTGGCTCTTTTTAGAATCCAGGAACAGGATTCAAGGGTATTGTTTAAATATTCACAGCTGAATAACCTTTAAAAACCTCCTTTACTTTATTGTGTTGAATCAGGCATCCAAAATTCATGAACATGAGACGGTGACAATAATGATCCAGAACTTGCAGGGGAACAGCATTATATCAGAAATCCAAAATAGTGATTATATTTGGTTACATAAAATCAGTAATTAAGAGTCCACACATTACTTGAAAGGGATTCTTGTTGGGGCAGCACGGTGGCACAACTGGTAGAGCTGCTGCCTCTCAGCGAGCAGGTCCTTGGTTCAAACCCCAGTGCAGGGGTCTTTCTGGGTGGAGTTTGCATGTTCTCTCCGTGCATGCGTGGGTTTTCTCCGGGTCCTCCAGTTTCCTCCCACAGACCAAAAACATGCATGTTAGGCTGATTGGTAACTCTAAATTGTCCCTAGGTGTGAGTGAGAGAGTGAATGGTTGTTTGTCTCGTTTGTCTCTATGTGGCCCTGTGATGGACTGGAGACCCGTCCAGGGTGTACCCCGCCCCTCACACTGTGATTTCTGGACATGGGTACCGGCGACCCCCGTGACCCAAAATGGAATAAGTGGGTAAAGATGATGGATGGATGGATTCCTGTTGATTAATTGTTAATGTTCAAGGGGTAAGCAGTCCGAATTTGTTATAATTCCTTTGCCCTGATGAGCTGAACCAACAAACTATAAATCCCCAAAGCTCCGATGAGCAAAACCAGAAAATTATAATCAAGTAAACTTTTAGGATATCCACATTGCTCTAGAGCCTGTCTTGTGTGGGATTTCTCCTTCTGCCTGGCTCATGAGTTAGTGGGGACGCTGTCTGCTCTGTGGTACAGAGTCCTGATGACTCCTAACTTGTGATCCAAAGGGTGATGGGAGTCAAACTGCAAATACTGGTCTGTGTGGGTGGGTTTGCGGTACACCTCAGTTTGTCTATCAGAAACTGAGACCTCACAGTCCAAGAAAGCCAGTATGCCATTTTTTACATCTTCTC